CCATTTAGAACGGACAAGGTAAAAAATACATCCGACCATATATCGCTCTGTATCTCGATGAATATTGGATTATCTAATTACAAAATAAGCTATACAAACTATTTATTATTAAAAATATACAAATCAGAAATTTGAATAATCAGAGTAAAAATATTCATTGATAACAACTTATAATATAAATATATATATATATATATTTTTTTTCTATTGTTTTTTATTTAAAATTTACTTTTTCCGTTTTAAATAGATATTACATACTGCTTATGGATTTCTTATTATGGATTCCGTCATTGAATTTATTGACAAGTTTATTTGCACGAGAATCTTTCGGGGAAGTAAACTTTGCGACCAAAGCAACCTTGGCGAGGAATTTCGCGGCAGCCGCTTTAGCTGCGATTTATTGTACCTCTTTCGAGGTGGCTCGCGAAGCGAGAATACGGCCGACCTCTGGACTCGTGAGTGGGAAAGGAGGGCCTTAGATCGCGATTGCAGTAGTCGGAATGATCACAACAGGCGATCACGAATTCGATGCCATCTGGACCGTGTAGCGTACTGTTCGTGGTGCACCAGACCGAGTACTCGGTGTCCGGAAAGAAGTTCGTCTTATTGTAACACCTGGGAAAATAATTTACATGACGAATACTGCCGCGGACCAGACTGCGACGTTCACATCGCCAAAAAGCGTTTTCCATGTCTGCTGTAAAGATGACGTAACATACTCGTAGAGGTACATGACAAAACGTTTTAGCGGATTATTGAAGATAAGATTTTACAGTAGAACAGTGTCTAATTGTAAAAAATATACACAAAGACACAGAAATGCTAATGTAGCAGTCTTTTAAAATTGGTTGAGTATATTATGCGAAATTTAATAAGCTGTAGAAAAGTGATTAGCGTATAGAGATCTGATTGCACCGATTGCCAGTTTTAGATTCGATCCTAATTTCATTAATGTTTATATGATAGATGAAGATACTATTTGACACAACTTAAAATTAAAGTTACAATTTAAAAAGAAAAAATATAATTGTCCTATATAATCCAAGAGTTAATTAAACTTATCGATGCAACTAAATCTTTAAAAAAAGCCTATATATGTCTAAAAAAATGTATAAAAATACCATGAGAGATGAACAATAAGCAACCACATTTTCAAAAAAATCTATATTTCAATAATAATAATATTTTCTTATTATAATTTAAATATTAAAAAATTGCGGAACATTTTAAAAATATATATTTTCCTACATATTCCTTACACATAAATATATGTAGACTAATGTGGAAATCATCAGATGTCTTTAATATATTCTTGAAGAAGTTAAAGAAAGTGTATACACAATGTTTTGTAAAATATGCATCGTAATCCCACAGCATATTAAGGTAAGTTTAATCTGATAATTTTAAAAACAATTTTTTATCGATTGATTAGGTTATCTTTTCTTTTTCACAACTTAATAATTTGTAAATATTTCGATAACAAATTTTAAATATGTGTCTGAATAAAATTTATTTAAAGTAAACTAAAGAAGTTTATAGAGATAACAAAACTTTAATTTATTTTAAATAGAATTTACTTGATATTATATATATAAAATGATAAAATATTCAAAAACATTTTTCTTAAACATTTCTGTAATGATAATTTTTAAGAAATTAACTTTGTTAAATAAACTTACTGCAAAAGAATAACAATTATTCTGAAATACACAATTTCAAATTTGTTAAAAACGTCTATAGTTTGATGCGAATTTTACAATACATTTATAACATCCAGATATAATATTGTAACATATATATAGATATAAAAAGTAAATATTTATAAATATTTTATTTTACTACTCTTAAGAAAAGAAGATTATCTTGATATCCTTTAAGTTCTATACTCTTTAAATTACTTTTAAATTTAAATAGAAATGCTCAAAATTGCATATAAAGAGAAGGCACATAAACTCAGAAGGCATGCGGAAAAGAAGATAACAGTACTTCGATCTTATTTAACTAAAATTACTATTAATATTTTAGTTTGTATTATAATGAAAGAGCTATAAAAGAAATTTGACATGAGATGCGCGCTCGTGAAAGATAGATCAATAACAAGATAATACATACTAATAAAAACGCGATTGCCTTTAATGAGTCTAATATAATTATAATGTTTTTGCTCAAGAATCTCATGTCAAGTTCCTCGATGTTTCTCGACATAATAATGGAGATTAAATCATCAATATATAATGCATTCTTGGGGAAATTAATAAAAAGAACTACAAGTTTTGCAGAGAGTTTGAGGGTATAACTACGGGAGGCGGGAAAGATATTTACAAAAGCCACCCTTTCTCGCGGGTCACGCTCTACCGGACTTACTACGGGATAGTATTGTCGTTAAAGAGTGCAGAGAAGAGAACTGTGGCAACATGCTACCGGTTCTTTCAGAGTTTACTCAGAAAAACTTCCGGCATATGATGGGCTTGTAAGTAAGAAAATACAGGAGAAGATTGCCTTGAAGCGACTACAAGCTCCGTAGGTGGCAAATATCTCGATCGTTTTTCGAATATTACATGAGCAAACGTATAATGCGTTCACACATTATCTTACCTGTCCAAATTCATTATATCTCGCTCTTTATTTTATTATCAATTTTATTTATTTCATGCTAATCTCGTTATCAACCTAATTTCGAAACTAAAGATTATTTTACTTTATATGAATAGATTTATAAAAATATATAATCAACATTGACAATACAAATAGTATGGGCGTATGCTGCTTGGGAAAGAAACGGAGAAAAATGGAGAAATTTTGAAAACTAATGAAATGCTAAACAATTATTGATCACGTTTATCTGTATCATTTGTTACTGCGCGCATAAAACAAAATACAATAGCGTTTAACGTAATGAATAATAACGATTCAATCTTTCGTGATGCAATATGACAAGAAATAGATATTTCTATTTTTTTCTATACAATAAAACACGCGAGCGACACGTAATATATTGATTTAATAAAGTACAATATTCAGTGGTAAGATATGATAATATTCGTATTTTAATTAATACGAAGAATATCCCATAATTTTTACTTCAATTCTGTATTTTATTTGCTCCAGCGACAACGGGACTATACAATACTCCACTGCGGTTCAAGAAACCGCGATATAAAATAGCCCGGTACGTTGCGCTTTATTAAGCGCAATGAACGGCGAACGAGATAGCGCAACACGCATCCGCGAATACGCAAGTAGTGCATCGCGTGTGCACGTTTACGTGTTGCAGCGTGTTGCAGCGCCGCGAAAGCTTTCCATTCTTCACACAATATATAATGCACATGGCGTTATACGGATATAGAAATCTACACAGTGTCTCAAAATCATCGGATAATATTTTAAAAAACAAAGGCAGTTCAATACACAAATTAAAAAGATATACACAAATAGATAAGAAAGAGACGCGTTATTCTTAATGAAATATATATCGAGTAAACTTTACTGTTATACAATTTTAATTTAAAAAGCTTTTAATTATAAGAATATTTGATATAAAAATTATATCAAATAAGAAATTTACTAAAGAATCAACTTTTTTTAAATTTAAGTTTCATTAAAAAATCAATAGATTGATATAATCTACTTTTAAGATATCATCAAATGATTTTGATATATTTTATACATATGTACACAGATAACGGTGGCGAGAGCACGACAGAGAGCGTGTAAGAACAAATTCGAGATAATAGTGCAAAATATAGCCATATACATTGCCGGAGACCATATATATGTATGTATATGTATGCCTGTGTAAAGTACTGTATTATTCCGATTATAAAGAATAACTCACGCGATTTAATTAATCCCTTGACTATACGAAAACGTTCTAACTGATTGAATCGTTTCTACATTATCAAACGCTAGAAATAGCTCTAATAATAAGTTGCACGCGAATCGTTTTGCAAAACTAATGTTTTCCTTTGGTCTTACATCAAACCAATCAAATTTTTATTATAATAAAGAACTTTTGAATTCATTAATAAAGACTCGTTTATGAGGAAAATAATATTCCTGATAATCAAAAATAAGTTGACAATAATAATAAGTTGACAACAACAATATTTCTTTGATTGTAGAAATTTTCACAAATGATTAAATTAGATATCTTTTGCGACAAAAATATGATTGTGCGTGTGGAAAATATTGATTAAAATATTTGTACGTTTATCCTCTGAACTTTAAGCGACCAATAGAGTACACAGAATCTATATATAAAATCCAATAATTCTAAATTCTTTAAATAAACAATGAAAAGAAACGCAATCAAAATTTATTTTTTTAGATAAATTTCATCTTATAGCAATTAAAAAAATACGAAAGTTTATTATATTATTCACGTTAATTATATATAAATAAAATCAATATAATAAAATTAACTAAGAATATAGATATAATAAAAGAATATAGATATAATAAAATTAAATAAGAATATAGATTTATAAACAAAAGCTTGACAATTTTAGTAGTTGGTAAATTTGCATTACGAAACTATCAGATGATAGAACTACCCCTTTAAATAGTTGCGTGGATTAGGTCAAACTGACTTCAAACTTGGAAACAGTTCCCTTGGGCCATGTACGCAATTGTCTTTCATTTCTATTCTTGTTAATTTTAGTTTATTCTTAGTTTATTTAACATTCTTATATAGAATATTAAATAAACAATTGCAAAATAATTAAATATTTTAATTATAAAATATGTAATTATCATATATCGTCTTCTCCAGCAATGTACTGCTCTCTATTCGTTATACCGGCATAGATTGACAATAAGAAACAATTATAAATAATCTAAAATAAAGAGAAATAGTGAGAAAATATATTTACAAATCATATTGCAGAGATAGTATAAGAGAAAAAGAAAAAAACAAAAAAGAGGGTGAGAGAGGAGAGTTGCAGCAAAAGCCCGTGCCACCTGCAGAGTTTTCGTAACTTCCAGATCTGTTTGGACTGTACCTTCTTTGTTGCGAGGGTGCAGCGGAGGTTTCAGATCCCGATTGCAAAAATCCTCTTTGCAGCACTCGATGACGAAGCTCGTGTTTCGCGAGTCGCTCGTCATGCAGAAGATGAGCGGCTCGGGCTGCGACGGCGGCAGGTGTCTATTCACGCACCTTCAAGCCGATTTTGCACCAGTTTCAAAAAACGAGAGGAACACTCGGTGTGAGACGCGTTCGCATCAGAGCACGAGATAATCAAGGGAAACATTTCGTGCGGTTTTAAAGTAAAAATTAACGCGAGCGAGAATCCGAATATCTCTTTTGTAGCACGACAAAAAGTATTAGCGCGCTTCTAAGACTGCGTTCTGAATCCGCCTCCATTTATCGAAATCGATTCTATGCTATTTGATATGATCCGCGAGCACGTTCAATGCTCTATTAACGAAGTAAACGTTTACAAGCTGACTCATCGTACAAATGTCCTTTAGGATTTTATATATGTATAAATAGTTATAATCTTTAAAAAAATTCTATTTATATGATTTTCTATAGATTTCTGTGTTTCTAGATTTTATATTTTCTCCCGGTATTTAAAATTTATTGATATTTTCATTTAATTAATTATCGTGCTACCGAAGATCTCGAGAATTTCCTGACATTTAATCAAATTTAATTAACTTGATGACGCCGTTCGACTTCTATCAATTTGCCTATTACATAATGATATTTGCAATTATTAATCTAACATCAATTATTATTATTCTCAGTATTTTTTATTTTATAAATCATATTTTGTAAGTGATTAATTTTGTTTGTGTTTTGTAACTACATGACATGATATATCTGTAAGAGATGATATATATATAATCTCTTAGTAGTCAAAGTAAAATTGGAGAAAAAGCTTGTGTGTGTGTGTGTGTGTGTGTGTGTGTGTGTATGTGTGTGTGTGATTGAACAAATTAAATTATATAAATGTACGCTCGCCGATTGACCGATAATATTGTACGAAATACGCGCCCGTTAGATTATTTCGCATCACAATTCACACACGGATGCGAATGCTGTCGAGGAAATAGGATCACTGAGCAAAAACTCTAGCACAAAATTGAAAGAGAAATACCAAAAAAGAAAAAAAAAACGGGAGAGAAATGCGAGAGCGGGGGTTGGTAGTCGGAAGGAGCAAGAGAAATTCGCAACACCGTGCAACTCAACACACTCTCGTGATACCTGACATGTGGGGGTAGCCAGTGAGGTAGTGCATATCTTCCTGATTCCTGAAATTCTGTTACTTCTGTCGGAATGGCTTCGGAACATACAACGGTATGTATAGCGCAGAAGCCCCGCGTCGACTCTCGCGATGCGACTCTTTATCGATCGGGCTTGTTCTACTACAGTAACCCCGACGAACTCGAGAAAGGGACAATCTCGATTCGTCGAGAGAAATGTAAGTCGAATCGCCTGAAACGATCTTCAAAGCAGGCACATCTCGCACATTCTGAACAAACCGAAATCGTCACAGCAAAGAAAATGTGAGTTAGGGACAAACGATGAACACTACGATGCAATATGTGTTAGTCGGAACCTTTCAAACTCGATTATTCTACGAAAAAGCGCAGTATTCCACATAAAATCTTTTTAAAGAATGTGATTCTTTTTAAGTCTTTCGTATATCGTTTCAACAATAAATAGAAAAAAATCTCTCTCATTTACCCTAGCACGATATATTACAATATATTTGTAATTTATATTTATATTTTCCGTTTAATGTTAAAAAATGCTTTTTTTTTTAAATCTTGTTGATTTAATACGAAGATCATGTTGACAAAATATATAAACGGAATAATTATATAATCACATTCTAAACTAAATGTGATTCAATTGCTATCTTATGTATAAACGTATTAAATTATCTTTCGTGTATAAGATTCTCCGTTTTTTATCAAGCTTTCATTTTACATTAGTTTGAATAACATTTTCAAATAAAAAATATCAATATAACTGACTTCATTATATATATATGCATAAATGCTTGACGGATCGATATAAATACGCAAATAAAGAAACATGTATATGTGTATCTATATATTTATAACGCGCGGTATAATGAAAAAAATAGCAATTATACTTTACGCAGGACGTTAAATCTTCCAACTAAAAAAAAAACCCACACTGCACAAAGAGTATAATTATGCAATTCTATCCGCTTAGGATGACGCTACTCCATTTATTTTTGTTATTTCAAAAGTCACATGCTATCCACTCGGTTTTCGTAAGGGTTAGTCCGTGACAATATGTTATGTATAGGACGGTTAAATTGTACACACGTATATAAACAGAAAAAGCCCTCGTCGGTCGCGAGCCCTTGAAAGAATACCTGAAGACAACTCGGACGTGTCGGGAGATAATAAAACTGGGTATAAATTCAGGTTGCACAGATCTTTATCGCAGCAGATCCACGAGCGATAGATGCCCGGCTTGCTGTTGCAGAAATGGGGTGCTTCCGGCGGCAGCCAGTTACTTCGGTCGAGGCACCTTTCACAACACCACAATTCTAAAGTTTAATCCGGAAGGCTCGCGAAGTTACCAAACCGAAGTTACCAAACGTTATATTTCCTTTATCTATCTACGTGACTATATTAATTGCGCGAATATATCTATATCTTATCCAATTAATTTATATAATCAAAATTTTTTTAAATATTTATTTTAACTTCTCTTGTCAGAAATGCTGATAGAAACACATTTTGTTCTTTTGTCCATTCGAAAGATTAATAATAAATAAATACTTCAATTACATAATTAAAATTATATATATTTTATATGAAACGATCAAAAATATACTTTGCGCTCCATTTTACCTTCTTATAAAACAAGTAGAGACAAAAGATTTTTTTTAAATCTTGTTGATTTAATACGAAGATCATGTTGACAAAATATTATAAACGAATAATTATATAATCACATTCTAAACTAAATGTGATTCAATTGCTATCTTATGTATAAACGTATTAAATTATCTTTCGTGTATAAGATTCTCCGTTTTTTATCAAGCTTTCATTTTACATTAGTTTGAATAACATTTTCAAATAAAAAATATCAATATAACTGACTTCATATTTGTCAATTAATTAAAGCTATCTTTACACAAAAAAATATCAATAGTATTACCGAGTTATAATTTTTTTTCCCCCAAAGAATTATTAACTTTTTTAGGTAACGGCTCAACTATTACTTTTTTCACGTAAGAGCTTAACTATTATTAAAAGAACGTCAAACGAAACGCAAGTACCGGATCTTAATGCTCGAAATAACTCTAGTTCCCTTTTAAAATTTTTTTCGTATGTATATATGTATATTACATATATATCGTTGTCGCGCGAGAATTTCATTCGCAACTTATGCAAATCGCATTTCGTCGCGACACGCACGTCAAGGTGAGCCACAACACGTGCCGCGATTTGACCGTCGTAGTCGTGAATCGCATGCGAACTGCCGGACATGAAATCTCTTGGACAATCGGTCGTCGTGCATATTTTACTGACGCAAGTGCTCGCTGATTTGCGTCCGATCGCGTGATAATTGATTTCATGGGTCGAGCCTCCGTCAAATCGTATTAGCGTGTGTGCCATTAATGCGAGAGCACGAAAAACGAAGTCGAAATCTGCGTTAGCGATACCATGTTATTAACTGTTCAAGTTCATCGTCTCAGAGCAAAGATCGAAGTTTGTCAAATTTATCTTAACACAGAAGATAAAAAATTAATTAATTTTCTATACTCAAATATTAAACAAACATAGTACGACGTGCCTGCGAAAAGATAACTTGTCCAAAAAATGTAAATAAGACAAAACAAGACTGAACGTATAACTAATATCATTTAATACCGTATACATATAAAATAAAATCCGCAATTCTTTATAATTGCTGTTATTTGGAATTATATAAAAACAATTATGAATATTAAGATTGCAAGAACAACAATCGGCGAATTCTTTCGCATGTTTTATAAAATTATGATCGTGCCTAATATTTGCGCACTCTCATTTCCGATTAAATGCGATTCACACGAGTGGAGAATATATTAAAAATTTATTTCAAAATGACAAATATACAAGAAAGTCAAAACACAATAACACTTTACTTTACCGAATGCAATTCATAATTCCGTTAGGATGTTCGTCATTATGTCTGTTTATGCAAGTAACTTCGCAAATATATATATATATAATGCAATTCTATCCGCTTAGGATGACGCTACTCCATTTATTTTTGTTATTTCAAAAGTCACATGCTATCCACTCGGTTTTCGTAAGGGTTAGTCCGTGACAATATGTTATGTATAGGACGGTTAAATTGTACACACGTATATAAACAGAAAAAGCCCTCGTCGGTCGCGAGCCCTTGAAAGAATACCTGAAGACAACTCGGACGTGTCGGGAGATAATAAAACTGGGTATAAATTCAGGTTGCACAGATCTTTATCGCAGCAGATCCACGAGCGATAGATGCCCGGCTTGCTGTTGCAGAAATGGGGTGCTTCCGGCGGCAGCCAGTTACTTCGGTCGAGGCACCTTTCACAACACCACAATTCTAAAGTTTAATCCGGAAGGCTCGCGAAGTTACCAAACCGAAGTTACCAAACGTTATATTTCCTTTATCTATCTACGTGACTATATTAATTGCGCGAATATATCTATATCTTATCCAATTAATTTATATAATCAAAATTTTTTTAAATATTTATTTTAACTTCTCTTGTCAGAAATGCTGATAGAAACACATTTTGTTCTTTTGTCCATTCGAAAGATTAATAATAAATAAATACTTCAATTACATAATTAAAATTATATATATTTTATATGAAACGATCAAAAATATACTTTGCGCTCCATTTTACCTTCTTATAAAACAAGTAGAGACAAAAGAAAAGTAACTGTAAGTCCACCTTCGATTCTGATCTACTTTCGCTCGATCGACATTCCATAAAATCTTTCAACGTGTGCGACGTGGATTCACGCTTAACGACGCAACACTATCGATAGATTTTGCATTTATGCGGTCGCATATAAAATTGCCTCGTGCTGCTTTCACATTATAGCTGGATCGAGTAATCTCGGTCGCGCTATTTTCAATACGATCTCCGACCGAATTATCTGAATTATCCGTCTGGCGTATCAAACATTTAAAGGGACCGTCCACACGTCTGCGACCTCGGATGATCGAACTGTCTCGGTCGATCTTGTTCGATTTCGAGAGTAGTAAGCCGTTCAAAAATCGAGACATTATTAAAATATAAAAAGCGTTATTGAAATATAAATTCAGCTGAGACTCCTCCAGATTATATAATATGTTCATGAAATTAATAAATATTCAAAGGCGATACGGAGTTTACGAGACTAATATTATATATACGATTAATATTTAGTGATCCATTTATTAAAAGTAGATAAGATTGGAAATTGAGAATATATGCAACGCAGTGACCTGAGTGCACTAGCGAGCAAGTGTTTCTATCCGAGAGAAATGTTGAAGATGTTTTACGACATTAAATATAATATTAAGCCATATATATTTCAAGAGACATATAATGCATAATTATTTTGGCAAAAGAGTTTAAAACTTCACTATTCGAAAAATTAAATTAAAAAAAAAAACAACACAAAGTAATTAATAATCGAAAAAATCGAAATAATCTATTTCGAATTTTTAAAAGTTGTTAAAACAAACTTTTGTATCAGGAAAATATAATTCATATAAAAATTGTTTCACATACATATAAATCCTGCGTCATATTTATAATAATATTAAATAATATAATGTTTTAGAATAACTAGTAGAAAAGCAATTTTTCATGCTTTGAATCAAGAAAACATTCAGAATCGCTATAGTAAGAATAAATTCGGATATCTTAAATTATAATATTGTAAACTAGACAACGATACATATACACATATATCTAAATTAATGATATTAATTCAATATTAAAATTATCGAATTAAACTTTCAGTTTCAAAATATTAATCTAATAATATACGAAAAACTCCATATCTCACAATATAATTGAGATTATGCATTACCCAGCATTAGACTTTTGTCCTTTGACATGATGAAACCGCGGGAGACATCGTCCATGATAAAAAAAATGTCGATCTTTACAGAGCGAAGGTTGAGTTCATAGCGCGTTTGGCACACGCGCATTGCGCTATCTTCCCAACTTTTAGTCTTTCGATCCTTGCGGATATTGCAAGCTGTTCCAAAGCATAGAATTTAGATAAACACGCTTATATTTTATTTCCAAAATTAAAGGTAACAATAGAATTGTTACCTTAATAATAGATAATGGCATAAACAAAATTTGCAAAATTATAAAATCAAAAGTTGAACCTATTCATTTTTGACAGAAGTTTGATAAATACCTAATATTAAAGAATGAGCATGATGTTGGAAAATTCAGATTAGAAGTTTGAATTTAGTGATTTAAAATCATTAAAAATGATGAAAAATGATTTATAGAATAGTTTAAAGATGATAATTTAATAGAGAAATTTATAAATCAATATAAGATTAAAATTTACAACATGTACTTATTCTTCATAGTCGTATTCTAGATAAACTGTTCGAAATCAAAGAAAGTTATATCGTGTAAGGTTTTTGCAGAATTAGAAATTTCAATTATTCCTCGCTATTGTTCTGATTAGAGAATGAAAGTAAAATATATAAATAAAATTCTATTCTGAATGTTTTGTGCAAGCATTAGAATGTTTCATTTTGGACAAGTATACAAGAATTAGATTTTTATATATGTTATGAGGAATAATATATAGTTAGATTATAATATAATTTAATAAAGTAATTATATTCTTCAAATAGAGGAAATTCCTTGTATATCCCGTATTTTAAATATTTTATAAAATGCATTGAACTATATATTTGAATAATGCGCTTCTATGTCCAAATAAAAACTCGTTCATTCAAGATGTTTATTTTAGCCGATTTATCTGAAATAATTGTCGAAAGTGCATCGTATAAATTTGTTCTCAACAATTTTCTTTCAAGACGACAAGATCTCAAAAACGATAGATCTCCAAATTACAAAAGTGTCATCTCATTTGTCAGAACTCGATTGAAACTTGTATATGGCTACCCCCACGTCCGCGAGCAAGAAACTTCCTCGATGCATTCGAGATCGATACCGCAGGGGAAGAAAAGGGAGAGGGAAGGTACCATCGAATTTCGCCCCGAGTTCGCCCTGCGATCGATCGCGACCAGAATTTCCGTACCTCATAGCAGTTCGAACTTGAAATCTCGCCACGCATCACGTTCGGTAACGTTACCAACGCGACGACCGGCCGACAACAATAATTCGTTTCCGCCGAAACGGGCGCTAATCATGGCCAGGGCGAGAGAGCGGGCTGGAAAACCGGCTAAACGTTCATTCGTGGAAACCACGACGAGGGCATCGATCGCGCGTTGAAGCGAAACCACCAAAGGCCATATCGTTTGATATGAAGACTGCGCGGTATTTCTCGCGGATAGTGACCTGAACCGCCACAAACGCACGAAGCAAATATGTAATAAACATTACATAAGGAAACTCTAGTAAATACGTGTTTAGTCCATTAAGGCATAGCCTTTGCGATCAATCGAATGAAAGAATTTATCTTTCACAAATATTTAATTTAAAACTTGAATGTGTAAACTACAAATATTATAATAAAAGAATAATAGAGATATAGACACTACTAAACTCTGTTAACTACTATAGAAAGATGGAATTCACAAATACAAAATTAAAGATTTGTACAGTAATTTTTATACGTAAATTTGAAATATATTGTTAATAAATCTGGGATTTATTATAACAAAATAAATTTTAAAATGAGAGAGAGAAAAGAAAAGTAAATATATCATATAACTTTTTTAAAATATTATAAATCTCATTTTAAATGTAACTTTGCGTTATATTTATGCATAAATTGTAAATAAAGAATAAAATAAATCAAAATTAGAAATAAGATAACAATTAATAATAAAATTATGTAAATAATAATATCATAAAAAAAAGGTTTGAGACAAAAATGCCTACCTAAACAAATTTGTGAGTTTTGTATTAATGTTGATTATACTCAGACAGAATAAGCATCCTTGCAACGCGAGCCTGAATTGTTCGTTTCATATGATAAACTTATATTGATAACGAGAGTGAAGTCGATAACGAATCTGGATCTTATTCTCTGCAAACGCGTTAGCTTAGAAAATCTGCACTAACATTAATGTCACTAACCGGTCACTAACAAGTCAGACGCCATAATGATTATCGTCTAATTCATTATGAAACGTCAATACAATATATCCATGTCACATCTTTTTCTCGAAACAAATTCGATTTTCCCACTCCTAATCAATATAAGTTATTTTGCAAATTGTCCAATAATCAGATACATATCTTAAACAATATAATGCACTAAAAATTAATAAATTTTAAATAAAAAAACTTATTAAGAAAAATAAACACAATTTCTCGGAGGACAAAAGTTTGCCAATTTCAATCGAATGTTATCCATATAATTGATGGCAAATCTGTCGACAACCGAGAAATGAATCAATGTGTAAAAGGGGATTTCGATTTTAAATCGCATACTCGTCAATAAAATCCACGTGCAAATATATTACCTCCGAGCATACGTGATGACGCCATTTTCCAAGCTCGTACTGGCGAAACAATAGCCATCAGTTTCGCACGTGTAATTGGCTTCTAGGCAAATGTCACAAAAGCACTTCAGTAACCCTAAAAACAAAAAGAAATCATTAATTATATAATTTAAATTGTTTATATAAATAATATATACAATAATCAGAGGGAAAAAATGTTTCATTCTTTTATTATTTTAAAATTAAATTGTTTCTAGTAAAAATTTTATTAGGCGCTATTCTTCTTCATAATATTTCAAATTTTTAATATTTCTATAATTAGCAAAATATGTTAATAATATACCCCCCCTCCCAACTCCCGGCAATGTTAATAATTATAAACAACAGGTTCAATCAAAATTTTGTTTTTGCAGCAGATTGTTATCATAACTACATATACCATTGTTATATACACAACTACAATCATATATTAATATCATAAATATCGTAAGACAAACATTAAAAAGAAAAGTTGTTACTCTATATTATTCTTCGTGCAATTTTATTTGCACCTGCATAACATCTTCACTTTTTTAAATTGATTTTTTTAATTGATTTATAAAACTATTTTTCAAGTTGTTATTTATATTATGTAATTCTTTTGATTATTAATTTATGTTTACAAACCACAATTAAACTTATATTATAAAATTATATTGTAAAATTATAATTATACTCTCTCTCTCTTTCTCTCTCTCTCTCTTTTACAGTTAAGAGATTATAAATATTATATTTAAGAATTTATTTTAAATGAAATACTGCCTAAAGTTAATCTTTTTTTATATATCGTTATTATATTTAATCTTTTATACTAATTATGGCTTATGATAATATATATAGGATATGACGCAGAGGAGTATCCATATGTAATTATGAATGTAGATAAATTAATATTATCTCATTTTTCTCACCTTTTATAATCTTGCGACTAAACTTATAAATTATTTGATGATATTGAATTCCATAGGTAAAATAAATTTCGCGAAAGAGCGCTTGTATACTTGGGCATGGAATGGAAGAAATATAGAAAGAAAAAAAAAAAAAAATATATATATATATATTGTGAAACGCTATGTGGCTCTTACCACAATTGAGGGACAGTTTATTTTACGATAATATAACATCGTCGTGAAATTCACAAATATTGATATACAATTTTCAAGATATATTGAATAATTGCCAATCGCAATTACATTGAGAGAAAGAGAGAAAGACGGAGATATTCAACAAAGAGAATTTAACATATTTTTATATTTTAAAAAATATTATAGAATTTAAGAATACGTGAAAAGTTAAAAATCCAAAAATCTAGAAACCAAAATTTTTTATTTTCAATAGAACCAATATTCAATCTATATTAAAAAAATCAAAAATTTAAAAATTTAACAATCTAACATAATATAAAAATTTCAGGATCAAGTAATAAAAAAAGAGCTGCGATTAAAAGAATATAAAAATTCAATAAAGTTCTGACATCAATGTTACATGATAAACAGGCTCATCACTCTTCATGAACTTTACTTGTCACGAAAAAGAGAAAACATGAATAGGATATAAACAAATTATAAGTACAAAGATCTTGGAGTTTGAATGACTACACTCATTATCAAGTATTGCTACTTTTATAAAAGCTAATGCAAACTTGCGATAAGCTCATCGAATTTCAATATCATGTCTTAATCTATTATTTTCGACTTGAACAAGAAACTCTAGACGAAAAATTCTAGTTCACATTTGACAACAATTTAAATATACAACAATAAGAATACAATCGTAATATAAAATAAAAATTCATGAAATATACCGATATTTATTCGCACATATTCCTGTATATATTGTATAATAGATATTATTGTAAAATAAATATTTAAAAAATTGAAAATTAAAAAAATTTAAAAATCTACTTTTTATTTAGATTTGTAAAATATATGTACTTCGCATTTTAAATTTATTGTACATGTTAACACACTTTTTCATAAATACAGCTAAAACAAATATATTCTTCTCAAGCATATATTCTTCATAAGCATTATACAGACAATAATTTAATAACACCAAAAAATAGTTAGTTATGTCTGTTATATTAATTTTATTTGATTGACTTAACTATTGATTAAACATAATAGATTAAATAGACTCTGACTCAAGAACCTCATTAAAGTTTCCAATTGCGGATTTAATAGAATGAGTTTAATTCAACTCATTAAAATACGCCTACATTGAATGGCCTCGTTGCCTGGCTTCATATTTTTTTAATTAGAATGTTTGAGAGCCTAAAAAATATTTATATACAATTCGCCGCATCCCAATTTTCGTAAAGCTTTGAATATCGTACATCCACGGTTGCATTATAAATGTTGCACGAAATAAAATACAAATCTTATAAGCTATAATAATTGTTCGTAATACTGTCAAAATTTCGCAATATCTCACGAAAAAAAATATGTACTATTATTTATATAAAGAATTAATTTAATTTTGATTTAATTAGTTAACAAAACATATAGTTTTTATTAAAATTTGTTTTTTTCTGGCGTATATATTGCAAAAATATTCATTTTAATCAAAATATGCATTTTAATTTTTTAATTATCAAGTTAATAGTCACGAAATATGTCACAGTAAGAAAAGTAATCTATCGATCAATAATTAATTCAGTATGATGATAATGGTATCATTGCGCTATTTTTTTCTAGCTCTAATTTACAATTCAACGATTAACGCGAAATAGCCACGATCTCATATTCAGTATTCATAAACCAAGTACGCATAAACACGCAAAATAACAATCATATTTTTACTGAACATTTAGTGTTAAATGTGTACTTTACCGAACTTTATATTTGATTTAAATATAAATGTCGAATAATAATTAGATAATAAATTTTAATAAATGTGAGATGAAAAAACAGATCAAAGTATGTTCAATTTACAAACACTTCTGATGCGTAATATCGAACGATAGGGAAAAAAATACAAATAATGTTCACTCTTTTTTGTATCTAATGTAAATTCTTGATTTAATACAACGGAATTACTTGGAATTGCACTCCAACCATATGATAAGATTTCTTATAATACGTGCAAATAATATCTGGCATAAATATATACATACAAAAATTAATTTTCCGCTGAAATGTAAACTATTCAAAATTAAATGACATTATATAAAAAGTCTTAAGATTGATTTACATTACACATATTTTATACTATATAATTGTATTATTTCGTGGAAAGTTATAAATAATAAGTTAGAACTTTATTTTCAATAGTTCTAATGTTCTTAATAGTTAAAACAAATAATTCTGACAGTTAGTCTTTCTCGGATAAAATAAATTAATAAACAAATTATTTAATGCTGCTAATGATTAAAACTATTTAGAAGATGCAAAAATATGCTCGATACTATAGAGGAGAACTGTTTTAGAATAAACAGAACTCTCAAAAATCGATCAATATCTCATTTCGACGCTCGTACATGTAAGCGTTTCTCGTAACTATTTTATTCTAATCGATGTTGTTTGCTTTTAAAAGATAGAACTTTTTCTATAACTCTTATAAAACCATAAATCTTTGAAAAGCTGATGCAAAATGATCAAGAAAATCTCGCAGGATAAAGTGAGACGTTGCGTGAATTTGGCGTCTCAGTCTGTCTTAAGACATTTTCTTTAATTTAACGGCCAGAATTTGTTTGTGCCAAAATTATCAAAAACTCTAGAATTATTGAAAATAAAGCCAAAATTCTTAATTATTTATAAGTTTCCACGAAATGATATGCATGCTTCATGCATATCGAAGCTTGATTTTTTTGATACTTAATAAATCTATAATTAAATCTCAGCTAATTAATTCTAACTAAAAAAATCTACGTTGAATTTTTCTAAATACCATATGAGAATATATAATATTTTTATGATATACCCTATACACTAATTTTTAACGTTTTCTTTTCAAGAAATTCAAGATTCAATTAAGTTTAATGTCATATTGAACGTTTGCTCTAAGAGTGAATCAACTGTAAATTATATTAGAAATAACGTGTCGTGTGTACTGGTTGCTTTTTTGAAGCAATTTTATGTGTTTTTATTATGATGTCTCGTTGGCCAAGAGATAAAGAGGTAGACGAATTTTTTTTTCGCTACCTTATATCGATTGGAATCGCGTCATTCGACCTATCTCCGTATCTCGCGAGAAAAAATATTATGACATCGACGTTTTATTGGACAGTAAGGCGACACGCGCGTTAAATATTATCTACGTATTGCGACTTCAGTTTATACAAATACCGCGTTGATCGTAGATTACAACCACGAAAACTTACGACAGAGATATATGATGCTGTAAAGAGCACAGCAATGTATTGCACATGCATACACAACACAAACGCAAACACAAAACATAATGGTATTTATCATTTATCATGCGCAGATATGGTGTTCGATTGCTATAAGCAATTATTACTCGTTCTATATTCTAACATATCGCAGTATCAACTTATAAACTAAAATTTTATAAAAATAATCAAGCTATATTTTTTAATAATTATTTTCTTTTATAAATTAAAGAATTAATTATAAAATAAATATTTTATTTTTATGTTTTAAAATCTAAATTATTTAGAGGATGATGTAATAATTAGTAATTAGCAGCTCAATCTTATTATATTAATTTTGATAAAGTTTGGAAATCACGCGAAATCAACTATTTATTAAAAATTTCAAATTAATCAGATAAACCGAATTAATCAGAAGTTAATCAGATAAGATATCTTATATATACAGGGTGTCCCAGAATCACCGCATCATTTGCTAATGGCAGATTCTTGAGATCATTCGAAGACGATTTTTTTTTAGCAAAAATGTCGAGGCATCAATAATTTCCGAGTTATAAGCGATCTAAAAAGAAAACTAAACTTTCTGAAAAGAGAGAATGAAAAGATTATACTAAAACTACATTCTTCAGTTAATTACTAAGAATTTACTTAAAAAAATTTTGATTTAAGACTTAGTTACAAAGATATATAATGGCAAAAATTAGAAACTTGCAAAAAAATGATGACCTGCCTCGATATCTTGGCTTACGAAAAATCCTCTTCAA